GAAGTTCAAATCACCAACTCCTTTGATTTCACCTTTAGCCCCATCTCCAAAGGTCACAAAACTGGTGGTGTGAGGCTTAACATTATTGAGGAGGTTCTTGATTCCAGTCATATGTCTGGAACATCCACTGTCAAAGTACCAGTCTTCCTTTGCAGAGACCCTCAGGGAAGTGTGAGCTATCAGTGCAGTAGCCTTTTTCTTCCATTGAGGAGCATGTGGTACCTTTTTAGACTTAGGTTTGACACCTGAATTCTGATTAGGGTATCCATGTAATCTGAAGCAGAAACGCTTTATGTGGCCATATCTACCACAATGATGACATTTCCATCTTTGGTACCTTTTCCTCATATGTTTCTGTTCCTGATGTCGAGAGTTGTGTTGAGACATCTGTTTTGACATTTGCCTACCAGAACCAGATTTCGTTGCTTTCATAAATCCTAGACCAGATTTATTTCCCACATTTTGTCCAATCTGTAGGATCTCTTCCAATTTGTCAGTTCCATTTGTCAACATCTTGACAGATTTGGTCATTTGATTCAGTTGTGAGTTCAGCAATTGAACTTCTCCTTCTAGAAGACTTATAGTTTCAAGGTTTGCCCGTTTTTCAGCCTCCATCTTTATGATGAGTTTTGATTGTTTCTCATTCTGCACACAGACTTCAGTACTTCTGATACACAATTCCTTGTACGTTTCAGCCATTTCTTCAAAAGTCACCTCTTCATCACTGATGTCACTTTCAGAGGTACAAACACCAGTTAAAGCAGTAACTCGTTTGGCAGTCTCTTCTTCAGAATTACTTTCTGAATCACAGTCAGACCAAGTAACTGTCATTCCTTTTTGTTTCTTAAGAAAGGTAGGACATTCAGCTCGAATATGCCCATATCCTTCACAACCATGGCATTGAATTCCTCTGCCTTGAACTCCCTTCTCATCTGACCTTGGTCTTCTGCTGGAACTGTCAATGTCAGAGGAAATGTTATGAACATTAGACCTTGACTTTGGATCTATTCTTTTGATGAGTTTGTTGAACTGTCTTCCTAGCATGGCTATAGCTTCTGAAATGTTTTCTTCAACATCAGTGTTGGACATAAGTGCTATGCTCTTGTTCTTTTTGACATCATCATTAGTGATTCCCATCTCAAAAGTCTGAAGAGACCCAATAAGTTCATCCACTTTCAACTTGCTAATGTCCTAGGCTTCCTCTATGGCAGTCACCTTCATTGCAAATCTTTTAGGCAAGGATCTGAGAATCTTCCTCACCAGTTTTTCTTCTGACATTTTTTCTCCCAGTGCTCCTGAGGTGTTGGCAATCTCCAAGATGTTCATGTGAAACTCATGAATGGTTTCATCTTCCATCATTTTTAGATTCTCAAACTTAGTGGTCAACATCTGAAGCCTTGACATTTTTACTTTGGAAGTTCCCTCATGAGTAGTTTTGAGAGTGTCCCAAACTTCCTTGGCCAGTTCATATTGATGAACTAATCTGAAAATATTTCTATCAATTCCATTGAACAAGGCATTTAGAGCTTTGGAATTTCCCAGGGCTAGCTCATCTTCTTCTTTACTCCAATCTTCCTCAGGCTTCAGACTGATTGTCCCATCTTCCTTAGTTATGGTGGGATGAATCCATCCTTTGTCAGCAGCTCTCCAAGCCTTTTTGTCCAGAGATTTTAGGAAGGCAATCATACGAGGTTTCCAGTAGTCATAATTAGTTCCATCCAGAATGGGTGGTCTATTTCCAAAAACTCCTTCTTTGTCCATAGTGCCAGAAAGTGATATCCCTAGATCTCACCCAGTAATACAGGCAGGGTGCCTGCTCTGATGCCAATTGAAATTCTGGCTACAGATACTCAATGTCACGTCCAATGTTATGACACCGTATCTGACTTACTATATGACAGTAAATACAAAAGCAGTAAATAACACAGTCAATTGTTTACCCAGTTCAGTGTGCAACAACACCTACTCTGGGGGCTACCAAGCCAGGGAGAGAATCCACTATAAGAGATGTTAATTCAGGAATAAACCAACCAGTTTATCTCCTTCACTTAAGACCTACCCAATGCAATTCTAATCTAAGTACAACTTAAACCTGAGTTCCTACTCACTCCCCCTCAATCACAGCAGTGATACATAAATCAATTTGACTTGAGAATTGATGAAGACACTCTTCAAAACACACACTTGATTAAGCTTCACAGCTTTTTAATCAAGTAACACAATCACTCGTGCTTCACAGCTTTGAGTGATGTACACAACTGACTTGACTCTGCTTCACAGCTTTAGTCAAGTAACATTCAAACACTCTTGCTTCAAAGCTTTGAGTGCTACACAACCCTTACAATTGAAACATATTCCAAGGCACTTATCACAATGATAATTGCTTGGAGTACAATAAACAAATCTATACAGATTACAAAATTGATCTTCTACTCAATCAGCAGGGATATCTTCAAAAACCGCAGCTCTGTTGAATATATAGCAGCTGCAACTTCAGTTAGGGTTTCCAAAAACCTAGGGTTGATTCCGTTTGACCTAAAGACCAGGTCACAATACTTTGTTGATCAGGTTAGGATTGAGCTAGGTTACTCCTCAGAAAACGCAGGATTCTGTTTAGAGGGGACTGAGTTATTTCCTGAAAAAACTCAGACTTATCCAATCCTGCAATCCTGTTAGTTCAGAACAGGATGTCATAACATCTGTTATGACATCTGAGAAAACCTGTCTACTGATTAGCAAAATGTGATCATTTTGCAAACATGCTCAGATACACACTTCTAAACATCAGTATTTGAATTACAATATTTTTCTGCACATGTACCTATTGAGTTAGTACAACCTGAACTAGAATGTTATGACATCAGTCATGACATTCACACATACACTTGGAATTTACCAAAAATGCAAGCCAATACCTAAACACCTACATATTTAATTGAATATAAATCAAAGTAAATATAAATAAAAATCATGGAAAAGTATAAATTAGTTTAGGAGTCCTTTATAAGGTCATGAACACGTTTAAACCTTAAAAAATAGGTCCACTAGTCCAAAATTTCAAGATTGCTCAATTGAGGTTTCATGCATTTCTCAAAAATTTCCCAACTTACACCAATCACAAATCATTCAATTTTTATCACTTAAGGGTGATATTGGACTTTTTGGAAAGCTCAAGATGTCCTCTACAATTTCTCTTTTGATCATTTTTGCATTTGGAGACTTTATCTTGATGTAAGTTACCTTGACAAAAAGTGTCTTTTTGTTGACTTTTGAAATGACATGTAATGTATTGGCTCATACATTTCAAACGAAACACTTTTTGGACTTGAACATAAATACAAAGTTGTAGAAAATTGAGTTTCCTTCAAAATGGGATTTGGTTGGGGAAAATTTGATGAAGCATGTGAAAATTATGCTAGGTCAAAGTTCAGTTGACTTCTCATAAGGAAACCCTAATTTGGCAACTTTGGACTTTTGATGATTTGAGAGCTTTCCTTAAGGAATCATGATCAACCCTTGATAAAATGATGAATATCACTTCAAAATGTTAATGTTGACCAAAAATCTTGAAGTTTGACTGTAAGTTGACCATAGTTGACTTTTTACCCAATACAATTGACTTTCAATCATCTGAGCCATTGACTGAGCAAACTTGTGATGTAAGACTTGAAACTTGACATGAACACTATTGAAGACCTATGGTGAACCATGAAAACCATTTGAGACCTTTTAAACCCATTATTCCTTGTGCACGATGAAATCCTAGTTGTGGATCCATTGCTTAGGAGGAGAGTTTGTCTGATCAACTCTTGAGAATCCTTGAGCATTTGAGAATCCTAAAAGAATGTCTTGAAGAAAATGGGAGGGAAAATGTTGGGGTACAAGAGTTTTTTACCCTAAGTTCCTCTCTTTTTCTTTTCTAATCCTAATTGTTTTAATCAATCAATCATTAAACTAATCTAATCTTTTTCTAATACTAATAAATTAGGTTTAGGGCTTTTAACTAATATTTAATTTTCTTGATTTTTTATTTACTGAATTAATTAATCAACCTTTTTTTCTTAAATATTAAAATCAATTAGAATTTAGGTTTTATTAATTATTATCACCTAAATTATTTTCCACAAAAACACCAAAATGTATTTTCTAACACATAGAATCGTAGGGCTTTAAACATCTTTTTTTCCCTCTCATTCATCTTTTTTATTTATTTAAATTCATAGACCAAATGTGTATGACGCGCTCTCTATTGTAATAGCATAGATTTATTTTCTGCATCTTTTTCCTATTATGTATCTGCTCCGAGGATGTAATAGCGCATGACATTTATATTCTCACATTTATATTTTTATATTATGATTAGTAACTAGGGTTTGTATGGCAAGACTAAAATCAACCTAGAAAACTCTAATTCTCAAGATAAAACAACTGAATCAAACACTCTTCACACTTGCACCTCTAGGGTATCCTCTCTTGTTGCCTTATAAAATATTGGTCATGTCCCTCGAAAGTGGGGATACTTTAGCAAAAGACCCTCGATCAAATTATCATGTCCCTTTCGAATAAAGATCATAATCCCTCGATGACCCTTCAAGCTGCCTACAAAATGATCTAGTCCCTTCGAGTTGCCTATAAAATGATTATAGTCCCTTTAATACAATTGCTAAAGTATCCTTACTTGTTTCCTTTGATGACCATATGATGACCTTACACATGTCCCTTCACATCCAATAGATAGGGCTACCTACCAACTAATGGTATAGATAGTACTATCTCTAAAGGAGAAGGGAAAGAATAAGAAAGACTTTACTGGGTAAGAAACTCTTAATTGCTTGCTCACAACTTTTCTCAAAACTTTTTTTCACACTACACTTTCAAACAAATATTTTCAAAAATAACACTCTGTATACATTCTTGAGGACTGATACAAGAATCATTACAAAGTCAGTCTTACATTGGCGATTTCAAAATATTTTTAAACAAATCACACACACAAAGCAATGTTTTCAAAAGTGAGCTAAGTAATTAAGAGCCCGTAGATAACTACAGATGAAAAGGGTGCTAACACCTTCCCTTTTCATATCTTACCCCCCGAACTCAAAATCTATCAAAGGTATTTCCTGTTTTTTTCACTTTTCCTAAATATTGGATAAAAGAAAAGTCGATGGCGACTATAGCTATCCGCACATTTGGATAAAACCAAAAAGTCAGTTCTCCCACCGTATTACACTGGGTAATGTTCTCCTTGAAAATAAAAGTAAATCGAAAAGAAATAACAATGCAATTTATAAAAATGACAGGAATGTAAAAGAGTTTTGACCAAATCTTTAAAGGAATGGAGATGACTCAAATGAAAGTAAATAAATACTGGAAATTAATATGGTGTTCCATACGTACATTACTCAAAATCGTTTCTCGATTAACTTTGATACTTTGAGTAAATAGAGTAATTTGTACAAAAATAAAACACACATGAATCTAAACTAAAGACTCATATTTATACTAATTCTAAAGGAATTGTCTTCTTATCAGAAGATGACACGTTCTCGCTTGCATGCGCTCGATCCTTCAAAGGCTTCCACGTATCTCTTTTTCAAAAGAAACAAGTAAGTGCAAAAATTTGAATGTTTAACCTTAATTCAAATCTCTTCGTTGAACCCGCCTCAAATACCTTTCGACTAGGAAGTGTCGAATTCGTCTTATTTTAGCAATAGTTTGATCGAAAAGACCATTATATGCCTTCACCGAAGCATCTTTCCTAAACTCTTGATTCTTCTTTAAAAACCTTGAGCGTCGAATTTTCCAGCTAACAAATATCAGTTGTAACCTTTGATATAAATCAAAATATTGCCTACTAGATCCATAATCTAACACATGTGTTTTCAACGTGTTTTTCTTCACTCATACTCTTTTTGGGAAACTTTCTAGATGGTCACCCTTTCAAAAATTGCTCAAAGTCAACCATGATTAACTATGGAGTTATTATGATATATGACAGTGAAAAAAGTACACGTCTTATTGGTATAGGTAATACAAATAGATTATTATAATTCATTGTTTAACCATGTAGTCTTATGCCTACACGACCTCAAGATCATTCTCATTTCAATGTAAATTTGATTTATTCATGTATAATTTCTTCCTATAAGTTAGTAGGAGCCGCTTGTTGTCCATACCTTGTGCATCAATGACCACTCCACGTCCTCATTAACTTCAGGCGTCACATGGCCACTAACTTCCACTTGGTTTTTCCACGAACCACATCATCTTATGATGTGTTTTCTGATACATTTATAACATCTTAAGAAAATTTAAATATTATGGAATAACCCTACAGACCAACATGTGCTTTCAACATTTTTTTCTTACTCACATACTTCATGTAAAACTTTATAGAAACTCGCATTCTCAAAATTGGTCAAAGTTAAGCATAATTAATTATGTACTTTTTATGGTATATCTAGTGACAATATGAAGCTTCTCGTTGAAATATGTAGTCCTAATCATTCTTATTAACCATGCTTCAACCATGCAGTCATATACATGCTATGACATTGAGACCACTTTCATTCACATGTGCATTTTGTTCATTCATGTGCTCATTTTCCCTCTCATTATCTATTTCTTATATATCCATAATCTATCATCTCCCTCGTCAGTCTCCGATGCCACGTTCAATATCCTATATAAATTTACATATTGTCTCATCAAACATAAACTTCACTAGTTATTTAGAAAGTATTAAACTAAACCTTATGTACATTTGTTCATTTTATAGTTAGAAAATCTTCTATATTCCCTTAATGACCTCAAAGTTCATCTAAAATAAAAAAGATCTTAAATGTAATAAAATAAGTCTTCAGAAATTCAAAATATAGAGCAAGTTACTCACATCTCAGTGTAATATATAGTTATTTATTCATTCAAAAAAACATAAAAATAAAATAAATATATTTTATTCTCTATAATTTTAAAATTTTATTTAATTTATTTTCTAAATTTCAGAGGTATCTTTTAAACAACTAATACAAAAACACACAAATTTGAATAAATATATATTTAAAATTACTAACGATGAAAAAACAATTATGCGACTCACAATAATTTTTAATTTCTATATTCTTTAAAAAAAATATTGTTTGAATATTTACCATTTTGTTATAATAAACAAAAAAAAAAAAAACCCGTAAAAACATAAAATACTATTAATTCATAAAAAAATCTAAAAAATTAATCTAAAAATAAATTAAATACTTAATTTTCATAATTATATTGTTTTTAATATTTAATTTTTAATTATTATTATCATTTTTAATATTTACTATTTATAAAAAGTAATATTTTTCATTTTTATCTTATAAAAAAATGTACAAAGACAATCTTTTAATTCGATAGACACTTAATAGATATGACTAAAGATTTATAGGAATTAAATGTTAAAAGTCTTTCCTTAAAAAATGTTCAAAAAATCCATAATTTTATAAAAAATAAAAAATTATTTTTAATGCAAAAATACTTAAAAAATATATTATTTATTATTTTTTTTACCTAAACACTTACTATAGACATATTTAATATTAAAAAACAAGTAAAATAAAATAATGAGTTAATAGAAAGAAAAATAAAAAATAAGAAATATTACCGGATTCCAAATTGGGTTTGAAAAGAGTTTACGAGTAACGCTGAGATCCGCTTCTAGTTTCATTCATTTCCTCTCTCGGTTCTCTTTGTCCTCACCCTCCCCATTCTCCCTCCTCCCGTTCCTCACTTTCTCCGGCGATTTTCTTCCCCTTTTTCCGGCCATACTCTCCGGGAAACTTTTCCATCAGAGCCTAAATACAAATCCATTTCCGGCATCGTTGTTTTCAGGTAAAGCTTCCTCACTCTTGTTGTTTTAAAGCTTTTTTTCTCTTTGGCTTTTGTTAAATCCGAAGAGCTTGTTTTCCATTTCTAGGTTTTCGTCGTCGTTTCGGAGAGCGAAACTCTAGCTGCTTGTTTCTGAGTCGAGGAATTGTAGATTTGGTGTGGCGTTGGTCTGAATTGGTTGTTGTTTGGATTCAGAGGCTGTGTTGTTGTTTGTGTGTGCTGCCAGTGGATACAGACTGTTTAGGTTAGGTTGATTTTTCATGTCGCTGGAACCGTTGGATCGAAAGCGGAAGTACGAGAGCTCGGAGCCTCTAGGGACTGTGGTTAGATGGAGAGGCTCTTCTTCTCATCCTCACCACCACCACCACCACCACCGTCCTCAACAGTTCAATCGGCCTGGCAATTTTCGGAGAATGACAGGTTGGTGATTTTTGTTTTTCTAGATTTTGTAATTTATGTTTTTTTTTTGTTAAACTTGTTAATTTTTTAGATTTTGGAACAGATTAGTGTATTGCTTGCCCTTTTGCTGTTAATGATATGATTTATTGTAGCTGTTAATTATTTTGGAACAAATTAGTGCATTGATGTTTGTGAGCTTTTATTATGGGGCACGCCACTCCATATGCCTTGCAAGGACCAACCTCATTTAGGGTTTACAATTGAATTGCTAGCTTTTATTTGATTTTTGAAGATCTGATTCTGCAGTTGTTATTAATATGATATTTTTAATTAGACAAACATGCAAACTTTCAAATCAATAAATGTTAATGGTGGTCAATGTGGATTGGTATACGTAGTCAATGATGGCCATGCAAGGCTGAGACAACCACCAACATCATTTAGGGTTTACAGTTGAATTGCGAGCTTTTATTTGATTTATTGATTTTTAGATTTTTAGATTTTTGAAGATCTTACTTTATAGTTGTTATTCAAATGATATTTTAAGTAGACCAACATGCAAACTTTCACATCAATAGAGGTTAATGGTGGCCAATGTTGTTTGGTACACGTAGTCAATGATCGCCATGCAAGGGTGAGACAACCACCAACCTCATTTAGGGTTTTACAATTGAATTGCGAACTTTTATTTGATTTATTGATTTTTAGATTTTTGAAGATCTTACTTTGTAGTTGTTATTAATATGTTATTTTAAGTAGACAAACATGCGAACTTTCATATCAATAGAGGTTAATGGTGGCCAATGTGGGTTGGTACACGTACAATGATCTCCGTGCAAGGGTGAGACAGCCACCAGCCTCGTTTAAGTTTTACAATTGAACTGCGGACTTTTATTTGATTTATTGATTTTTTTAGATTTTTGAAGATCCGATTTTGTAGTTGTTATTTAAATGATAACAAACATGCAAACTTTCATATCAATAAATGTAAATGGCCAATGTGGGTTGGTATATGTAGTCAATGATCGCCATGCAAGGTTGAGACAACCACCAACGTCATTTAAGTTCTACAATTGAATTGCGAGCTTTTATTTGTTTTATTGGTTTTTAGATTTTTGAAGATCTGACTTTGTAGTTGTTATTAATATATAAGTAGACAAACATGCAAACTTTCATTTCAAATAAAGGTATATGGTGGCCAATGTGGATTCATACACGTAGTCAATGATCTGCAAATGAACTCTCATCTTTACATAGACGTGGGTTTAATTCTCCTAAAGCTACTTAAATTCCCACATTGTGTTAACCCTATCTGTGGATAACCTTTGACTTGTAGGACTACGATAGGAAGAAATGCTTATAGTTTGGGCCTATCGAGTAGTCTTTGGGTTTGCATTAAATTGCTCGCAATTTCTATCGGTTGGGTCTCTGTTAATAGTCCCACAAGGATTTGGCTCTTCTAAAGTGAGTAGTTAGTAAAGTAAGAAAATAGACTGTTGATATTATATTGTTCATATTACTTTATAAAATGAGTTGCTCATTTAAATGGGGCCAAATCTATCCCAATGTTCTGTTGGTGCCTAGCCTGGTAGTAACATGGTGCTTCTTTCCGTACTAGCATCTTTTTTTATAAATAGGCAAATTGTTAAGAATGATTTTGTACCAAGTAAACAAACAATAGAAGGATTTAGCATTTTCTAGGTTTGTATAGATAGCTATTGTTTTCCATCCCTGCATATCTGTTTTCCAAGACCCTGATTGGTTCCGGGATGTTTTCATTCAAAATGCTTTGTACTTTATAGCATATAGAAGTCCTGATTTCTTATACGCTTTTCCCTTCCCCTTGCTTTAGTTATTTTTTATTTTTGGGTGTGGGTGCTAAAAATTATATATATTGTATTGATTTCTTCTTTTTTTCTATTTCCAATTTTTGGTTTGAATATTTTCTGAAGGTCATCGTAGGCAGGGTAGTTGGCAGCCATTTCCAGAAGAATCTGGTCAAGAGCATATGCTGTCTCGACCTTGTGACAAAAAACTGGAGGAAGATAACTTTCGTTCTCGAGGGGATGGAAGGTATGGAAGGGTCTATAAGGAAAGTAGAGGAGCCTTTAGTCAGAGAGAATGGAAAGGGCGTCCATGGGAAAGCCCGAGCAACTCTCTTAATATGTCCAGGAGGCCAACTAATGCATTTAATGAACGCAAGTCAGTTGATGATATGCCAACAAATTCCCCTCATCCCAATTCTGGCTCATTAACTGCTTGGGAACAACACCACATGAAAGACCAGCATGATAAGATGGGTGGCATTAATCGATTTGGTACAGGGCAGAGATACGATAGGGATAGTTCTCTGGGTACGGTTGACTGGAAGCCACTTAAATGGACTCGGCCTGGATCTGTACGAGACTCAAGCTTTAGCCAATCAAGTGGCACAAGAAGCTCAGGAGGGGCTAATTCGAAGGGAAACTATGAAGGGAAGTATGGGTTACAACAAAAAGTTGCAACTACTGTTGAGTCAAATTCGAGGGAAGCTGCTATATGTCGTACATCTTCTGCACCATCTGAAGAGACAAATTCGAAGAAGAAGCCTAGGCTAAATTGGGGTGAGGGACTTGCAAAGTTTGAGAGGAAGCATGTTGAGGGACCTGAGGCAACTTCGAACAGAGATGGACCTGTCTCACCCCCTTTAAATATGGAACCCAGTAATTCCCTCTGTCCCAGCTTAGTCGATAAAAAGCCAAAAGTTTCAGAACTTTCAGGCCGTGCATCTCCTGCAGCTCCAACAACTGCTGCCCGCAGCTCTTCACCAGGTATGTTCGATTCTGTTACTGTTTATAATCTTTTCACTCTTATGAAGTTGTAGAACAAAGCAACTTAGCTGATAGAAGTGTTGCTGCTCTTAGTGAAGTAGTAACATCTTAGACCCATCTTAGGTTAGGGCTCATCTTATATCACATATCAATTGCAGTAAATAAATAATACTCTGATATTTGGTGAGTCAAATTTATTCAGGTGTTTCAATGTGTACTAGACACTTTGATTTTGCCCTACTATGTATTGTTTGTCTTTACCTGAGATTCACTTTGTTTGCAACAGGTGTAGATGATAAATTGTTTGGAAAAGCTGTAAATATGGACAATGATGTTGGTAATTTGAGTAGTTCACCTGGCCGGGAGTCTCAAAATCATCTGCAGATCTTTTCTCTTAATTCAGAGAAGGTGGATATTAATTCACTGACTAGTTTGGGCTCTTCACTAGTTGAGTTACCACAGTCTGAAGATCTGAGCTCTGTGGATTATAATTCATTAAGATCCACTACACTGGATGAGTTGCTGACATTGAAAGCCGGCATTTCAAAGGTATTAGAGGTGACTGAAACTGAAATTGATTCACTTGAAAATGAACATAGATCTCTAAAATCTGAATCTGAGGGTAGATTTCCATGTTCAGCAGCAGTAGGCTCTCTGCTATGTTACAATGGAAAACCTTGCTCTGATGACAAGGTTTTCTGTTTAGAGTCATCGCCAATTGTATCTTCTGACGACCTTATTGTGGAGAAGGTGCCTATTGCGAAGAAGATGAATCTTGGTACTAACTTTGTTAATATACACGATAATTGCCTGGGAGATGATATTAACAGTCATGGACCTCCAAAGTCTAAAGTTGTAGAGCCTCTGCCCATAATTAATGCAGTTTTTTCATGTGATGTAAGGAGATATGGTTCTGGCTCAGAAGACTTGGGTGGAGTTCATTCTACAGCCATGCAATGCTTAATTCCCTGTACTAATAGGCAAGCTGCCAATGTCTCTGTTTGCGGTGATAGTAATTCATCTTTGAAAGTTAAAGATGGTGTGGGTGCTAAGAGAAGTGCAAACTCATATTCTAGAACCGAGGACAATTTATATGACAAAATCATTTCTTGCAATAAAAAATCTGCAAAAGCAGCACATGAAGTATTTGCTAAGTTATTGCCTGAAAAATGTTGCAAGAATGGTAACATTGGAGCTAGCACTGGTTCATGCTCTCAGAGTGGCACATTTATTATGGAAAAAATTGCAGAGAAAAGACGAATGTCAAGATTGAAGGAGAGAGTTGCGACACTTAAGTATACAGCCCTGCATCACTTGTGGAAAGAAGATATGCGCTTACTGTCTATTAGGAAACAACGCCCAAAATCTCACAAGAAACTTGAAACCAGTTATAATAATCTGAAGAAGCGGTCTTCTATTTCTTTTCGTTTTCCCTTCCCAGGTATGAATATTATTCTTTATGACTGTTACATTTGCATTGATTTTGATTTGTTTTTTGTTTCATAGATTTGTTGCTGTTATGGACAGAACTTAATGTCATTATTTAATTCATGTATGCAATCATACCTAGTGGGAAACAACTTCGGTTGTTATTGTTGTTCTTTTCTTTTAACATATTTAGCCAACGAGTCTACGACATTGTGCTCTGCCATAGTTTCATAAGGCTTTAGGTGCTTGGTGCCTTTCATCCATTTAGCGAACTGCATCTAGTAATACTAGCACTCAATACAAAAAATGGTTATTGAATTTGTATGGCTTAGTTAGCTTTTTGATGATGTTTTGGTGCTTCATATCTGTATCTTCTGTGTGTGGTACTCTTAGTAATGCTTGGTTGAGCGTTGAATTTGATAAAACCACGGCGGCTCCGTGATTTTGTTAAAAATACAAAGTGTAGCTTTTTCCAAAATCATGGTAGCTCACTGTGATTCTGACAATCCCATTGCTTATCCAAACATGCACTTAATCTTCCGGTGACATCAAAAACAAAAATTAGGACTTGTGTATAATAACAATCAATGTATTTCTCTTTTACTTTTACTTAGTTCTGTATTCGGCATTAACCAGGTTAAGTAATTGACATGCTTGTAAATTATTAGGTCTTCATATTAATACCATGTGCGGTTTATGTCTATTAGTCAGTAATTTTAGCATTTACATTTATTTATTTAACATGAACAAAAACAAATGAAATAATGGCTCCATAGTTGCAGTGATACACCGAGGCTTATGCCTGTCTATTAGGAAATACTTTTAGAATTATACATATATTTAATATGGACAAGAACAATTGGAATAATGGCTTGATAAATATTAGTGTTAATAAAGATATAACTATAAGTTTTAATTTAAAATCTTGGAGAATTAGTAATTAGCTCTTTGAGTCACATATAGAATACAAATTTATTCAAATTGCCATTTTGTGAAGTACATGGTTTATTTTTTATTTTTATGGCTTACATGGTAGATTTGACAAGATTTGGGCGATCTCACGGTATAATTTCCCCCCATTTTGGCTGTCCACGGAGGATTTCTTGCTCTTCAAAGTTAATTATTTTAGGAAATCTTTTAGACACCAGTAAAATAGAGAAAAGAAAACGGTGTAGTTTACAAGTTTGAGAGTGTGCTATTCCTCTAGTGCTCTACGTTCGTACCAATTGAAAAGACCCCAGTCCCATATTATTGATCCAAGGTAGGGCCTGAGAGACACCTCTCACCTTTACATCCCGTTTTGTAAGGATAAAGTAGATCCAATAAAAAACCTTACTAGTGTCAAAGCCTATCTATCGATCCTCCCACCATATATATCCGCCAATGTTGTCAATGGTGAAGAGTAGAAAATTTGCCACAAAATATATGGCGGAAACATGGCAGACAAATTAAAAAACTTATTTTATGTTTACACACATACACAAGCAGCAGAGATGAATAAAATGCCAATTTTAAAACTGGTTAGGTACATGACCCCACCTTCTGTTTAGGGTTTATTACAATTTTAATCCACTTTGGGCCTGTACTCTGATCGGATCATCCAAGCTAACCAATGTAGTCAAACACGAGATCCTAAGTAGTATTGGAAGGGATGTGAAAGCATCATAGAAAGCATCATAGAAAGTATCATACATGAGCAGAATGATCTTTAAATCACTATTATACTTTTACAGTTGTACCAATACACAGTCCACCAAGCACCAAGTCTGTGAAGCCATTAGAATTTTCCTTCATGATAGGTCAGTCATATCAGTCCAGTGGGACTTTTTGACTGTTGCTCCATTTTTCCCGTTACCTGCCGCACCTTTAAAATGTTTTTACTAGTTTTTTTAATGAATTGTGATATGTACATTTTTGGCTACCTCTTCATTTGATGAATTGTGACATTTACTGTTCATAGTAGCTCTGTTCTAATTTAGGCTTGCTTTGTGATGATTGAAGTAAATCTTATTTTGTCTATGTTTGCAGCAGGAAACCAACAAAGGTTGGTTCCAACATCTGAGTTGATTAAGTATACAAGCCAACTTCTTTCAGAATCCAAACACGAAATTCATAGAAGCACTTTAAAGATGCCGGCATTAATTTTGGATCAAAAAGACGAAATGAATTCAATATTTTCATCTAGTAATGGGCTGGTTGAAGATCCATTGGCTATTGAGAAAGAAAGAGCCATGATAAACCCTTGGACTTCAGAAGAGAGAGATATTTTCTTGAAGAAATTTTCTGCCTTTGGAAAAGATTTTCGGAAAATAGCTACCTTCCTTGACCACAAGACAACGGCAGACTGTGTTGAATTCTACTACAAAAATCACAAGTCTGATTGTTTTGGAAAAATTAAGAAAAAAGATGACGACAAGCTCAGAAAGTTTTATAAAGCCAAAACTAACTTGATGCCAACTGACTTGATGCCAAATACTTCTCCACTTGATATCTTGAGTGCAGCTTCAGTGATGGCAGATGACATTGCAAGAAATCGAAGAATGCGTTCAGGGCGTGCTCTTTGGAGAGGATATAACATGAGTAATAGGCTGAAAAGTTTTGAAGTTCTCCAAGATGAAAGAGAGACTGTTGCAGCTGATGTGTTAACTAGTATATGTGGTTCTGTTTTATCTGAGGCAACAAGTTCCTGCATAACTAGTTCAGTCAATCCTGTGAAAGGCAAAAGGGTCAGGAAGTGTGTGAAAGCAAAGCCTCTACGGAAACCACCTCCGACGCCAGAAATTACCCAAACTATTGATCATGAAACTTGTTCGGATGAGAGCTGTGGTGAAGTTGATCTTACTGACTGGACAGATGTGGAGAAGGCGGCCTTTCTTCATGCTGTATCATCCTTTGGAAAGGATTTTGCAATGATCGCGCAGTGTGTCAGAACAAGATCCCAATATCATTGCAAAGTCTTTTTCAGCAAGACTCAGAAACGTCTCAGATTGAATCTCATGGGTCACAGACCTGAAAATGTTAGATCATTGGGGGATGATGATGTGGATGGTGGCAGGAGTGACACAGATATTGCATGCATTGTAGAGACAGGTTCAGCCAATGGCTCTGATACGTCAGGCACTAAAACTGGTGTGGACCAGCCTGCAGCTGATACGAACATGTATCATGATGAATCCAATCCTGTAAAAGCTAGCAACATGTCAGCTGACTTAGATGAATCAGAGGAAACTAATGGGAAAGTAGATCATGAAGATGTAAATATGATTTCTGATGCATGTGCAATTGGGGGTGAGTCTAACCTGGACACTGATGGTAATTTAGGTGTCTTGTATGATTCTGATAGGTCTGGCTCAGTGCGGGCTCAAGATGAACCAAGCGAAGGGGGAATTGCAGGTACAGAATTGGTGTCTGGTATGGAGATGATTGAATCATGCTACCCTATTTCTGTTGGTGATGGTAGACTGGTTTCTGATGTTTCTTCTGGCCAACAGGGAAATGAATTGGAGGGTTCAACAATATGTCTAGTTGATAAAGATGAGGCTGATACAGATGTTGGAGTTCAATTGAACGATACTAGCACTTTGGTGAATACTTCACTATCATCTACGGAAGTTTCTTGTTCAAGATTGACTGTTGATGCTGGAAATGAGCCCCAACCACGCCTTGAAAAACCTCCATTCTCAGGATCATCAGAGGGTCCTCTTACAAATGCAAATCTTGGCTACCAGCTTTGTAATCCTGGTAATTCATTGGACCATGTTGAGGCTGCCAGAGTCCATCAGTGCTGTAATTTGCAAGTGCATTCTAAGAAGGAAATGAATGTGAATATGAGCTGCAGCAGTTCAGCAACTGAGTTGCCTCTTTTGTCCCAAAAGAATGAGCATTACCAAAGCGTGCAGGGTTTGTCAGATTCAGAAGAAGCACCCCGAAATGATGTGAAAATATTCGGGAAGATACTGACCATTCCTTCAGCCACCCTGAAGCCTAATTTAAGTGTAAAGGGAAATGATGAAAATGGTACCTATAGTCCGAAGTTAAATACTGCCTCTTCTAGTCTGAAACTAACCAGCCGTGCTAATGCTGGTGGAAAAGTCCCTGTGTTGGAGGTTGATCTGAATGACTGCCAGGTCATTGAAAATGTTCCCGTTGCAAGTTATATTATCAATGGGAACAAAATTCAGCCTGGTTTGTCTTCCCTCCCTGATTCTGAAATTTTGCTTGCAAAATATCCTGCTGCATTTGGTAGTTATCCTACAACTGCCAGATTAGAGCAAGAGTCATTGCAGGCATTGGCCAACAATAATGATAAACAACACCTAGACGAAGCATCTTCTTTTCCAACTGCTTCTTTTCCAACTGGAGAAGTCAATGGAAGATATGGTGTGCCTGATTATCAGATATTCAGAGACAGGGAAGATCTGATTGCCCAGCCACTCATGGAAGGCGACCTGCAAATAAGAAATAATTTTGAAGCAATCCCAAGTTTGCAGCAGCAGGTTACAGAAATGGTGGGGACAAATGCTATTGGAAAGCCAGAGATTCTTGTTGGAGAATCCAAAAGTGTTTCCTCGGATCCTTTGGCAGCCATCAAATGAAGCATTTCAATGCCTACCAGTTTGCTGGTCAATCCAAAAGTATAAGAATGCCTTCTGTTTGCTGGTCAATCCAAAAGTATAATGACAGGTGACGAGTCTTCGACAGGGAAAGAAGATTTAGATGATTAGATGTGTTCAGCGGCAGCAGTGCACTGTATAATAGCTTCTCTTCAGCATGATTTATTCAAGCAATGTAATAGGTGTTTAAGATAATAATTTTAATATGGCAGCAGCCATGTTGTTGTTGTATTTTATAGGAATTCTTGAATAATTTCTGAAAATATTTATGGGCAATTTGCCATTTTGGTGGGTCCCTTAACCAATCACGGCCCATTTCGACTGGTTAAATATTTACATAGTGGTTGTTACAACTCTTTGTCTGATGAGTATTTATTTTCTTTCTTGATTGGGTTCAAATAAAGGGGAAAAATAAGTATGGTTTTGACTTATTTATCCCGTAGGTTGAAGAACCACAATCTTCTCTCTAATGGACCACTCTAGGCATCTCTTTCTCTAATTAGGATGAGTGGGGAAAATAAGTATGGTTTTTACTTAGAGATTTATCCCTTAGGTTGAAGAACCACAATCTTCTCTCTAATGGACCACTCTAGGCATCTCTTTCTCTAATTAGGATGAGTTCAACAAGCGAGTGATAAGATGTGATGGGAGTCACTCTTGTTCTCTTTCTCCCTCTAAACTAGGTTTCAAATCTTAAAAGAATTGTTGCCGTTGAACACATCTAACTACCCAAATCTTCCTTCTCCATCAAAGACCTGTCCTCTTTCATGACACTTTTGGCTTGACTAACAAATTGGAATGCTGCCCTCTGATGACGGCAGCCAATCAAAGACCGTGCCTCCAACTAATCAACAGGCACAACAGGCAAAAGGATGATACAGCATGAAGAAAGGCCGCCTTCTCATCATGTCCAATCAGTAAGATCAACTTCACCACAGCTCTCATCTGAACAAGTTTCATGATCAATAGTTTAAGTAATTTCAGGAGTCGGAGGTGGTTTGCGTAGAGGCTTTGCTTTCATGCACTTCCTGACCCTTTTGCCTTTCACATGATTGACTGAACTAGTTATGCAGGAAGTTGTTGGCTCGGATAAAACAGAACCACATATACTAGTTAACACATCAGCTGCAACTAGTATATGTAGTTCTCTTCAGATCGTCCCATTCTCAAATATTCTGATAACCAATCAAACTATTGCTTCCATTGATTTCTAAGTTGTAAAAGCAGATGCCTCGTCCAGGTGCTGTTTATCATTCTTGGCCAATGTGTGCAATGACTCTTGCTCTAATATGGCAGATGTAGGATAACTACCAAATGCATCTCCGAATATTTTCATATCATTTCTGGGTGTTTCTTCTGAATCTGACAAACACTAGGCCGAGTTTTGTTCCAACTGATATACAGTAACTTACAATGACAATATTTTGCCTGTCAAGAGTGAAGCCAAATCTGTGTGAATTGAATAGGTCATTAATTGGAGATTCATGAATTTTAATGCTTACAACGAAGATTTATAAGAACAATGAAACTCCACTAAAAGCTCAATTTAATTGATGTAAACATAATAAACTAGTAAATAAAATTGTGGTTAGTACCTTATGGTTTGATAGTATAAGCACAAGAAACACTGAAGTTTTGGATTTGAAGAAGACAATCAATTCCTTACACGATGCAAAAATCAATCATTGATTGAGCCAAGAGCAGGCTGCAAAAGATTCAAAGAGATTAGCCTCAAGTGAAAAATTTGTGTGAATTGAATAGGTCATTAATTGGGGATTCATAAATTTTAGAGTTTATTATCGAGATTTTATAAGAACAAACAAACTTTGAAATTTCAATTAAATTGTTGTAAGCATCACAAATTAAGTATAAAAGATTGCAATGCGTACCTCATAACTAGATAATATTAGCCTCAAAGTAGCTAGTCGAGGGCGGTGGAAAACTCCTGTTAATTGAATAGGTCATTAGTTGGGGATTCGTAGATTTTAATGCTTATAGCTATGTGTTTTATTAGAATAATCAAACTCCATTGAAAACTAAATAAAATTGGTTTAAGCATTAACAAAATCAATAAAAAAAATATAGTGCTTACCTTATGACGTTATGACTTGATAGTATTTGCACAAGCAACATCGAAGGAGAGAGAGAGGGGGTTTGGAGAAGACATTTGTTACGTTATGTGATATAAAAATCAAACACAAATTAGCGAAATCTAACCTGTAGGAGATTTTAAACAATTAATTCATTGTGTTATGTGATATAAAAATCAAACACAATTTTGGTGAAGAGTAATCTGCAAAAGATTTTAAATGATTAATCTCGAGGTAGATAATTGAGGATAGTGCCGATTAAGACGTGGAGTTGCCTATCACATATGGATGATCTAGGTTAATTTAGGAGTGAGAGGGATAATAATGAAGAGATGTGAAGTGATCAATTACGAGTTGATGGTCTAGGTTAATTTAAATTGGGGCGAGAGGGATATGAATGAAGAGATGTGGAGTGGCCGACTACGAGATGATGGCCTAGATTAATTTAAATAGGGGTGAGAAGGATAGGAATGAAGAGAAGTGGAGTGACCGATTACGAGTTGATGGTCTAGGTTAATTTAAAAGGAGGATGAGAGGGGTATGAATGAAGAGAAGTTGAATGACTGATTATGAGTTGATGGTCTAGGTTAATTTAAATAGAGGTGAGATGAGTAGGAATGAAGAGATGATGAAGCATGACGACAAAATATATTAGACGAGAGATATCTTACAAGTTAAGCGAGAGATAACTTATTAGTTAAACAAGAGATATCTTATGAGTTAAGAAAACGTGACGAAATCATAAAAGTAAAGTTAAAAAAATAAAATAATTATGTGTTAGTTTTTTCAAAGGTAATTTTTTTTTATGGATTCGCTTAAGGTAAAATTAAAAAAATATCTAGAAAGAAATTGCAATAAAATTTATATTTGTAGAAAGAAATAAGATAAGAGTAAATATTATTAAACAAAATGAAAAATACTTATTATTTTTTAAAAATAATTTTGAGTGGGCTTCACGAAGCCCAATGATAATACTCCTTCATGTGGTTACGAAAATTAGAAAACTATATCTCATATGTTATTATTTATTCATTTACTCCTACAACTTATGCGTCTGAATCAGAACACCTTTGTATAAATACCTAGACTTTCAATTTTCTTATACTTTTTCCTCATTTCATTATGAAGAAAGTGAGAGCATTATTTCAACAATAAATCGGAGAATAAGAAGTAAAGAAATTCAGCTTAAAATTTTAACACACCAAATAACATACAAATAAGTTTTCTGGTTTTAGTTAGAAATTTTTTTACACACCGAATAACTTAGAACCATGTTATCCGATACTGGATTATCCGATTTATGATGTTGCTAACCGGATAACTTGGAACCATGATATCCGGTTCTTAATATTTCAATATGGAAATCTTTACTCAACGTTATCTGGCTCTCATTTTTTGTTATTTTTAATAGTGTGCATGAGAGGTCGGAACAACGATATTATGTGGCGCATATGTGAAAGACGAAAACCTTGACAAGCGATGGTGGAGAGGAACCTCAGATAGTAGCACGTGATCCTGGTACACAACAACCGTAGTTCCCCGAGAGATCGTACGGTACGTCTCTTTTGGTTAGGTACCAAAATCATGTTACTCGCCATTTATGGTACGAACAAGTAAGTTAACCTCTACCATTTTATGCTGAATTATTTTTAATTGTAATTATTTATATTTTGTAACATATACTATAAATATTTTTAGGAGAGACATCCGAATAAAGAATTAAAGATTGTTGCACATGGTAGTGGATTCCACACAGTCTCCCACCGCTGATAGAGAGTTGGTTGTCTAATTATGGTCTATCCCTTCTTCAGAGAATCAGTTTGTCGAGGATAAATTAAAATTTAATATCAACATTCGTAGAGAGATGACATATATAAATATTGTCCTTTCATATTCCATTTGGCAAGATGACCATTGCATTGGATAATGTTTCTTGTCTTCTTCATTTACCGTGTAGGGGTAAGATCTAGGACCCTGTACAACGTTTCATTGATGTTGATGCTATTAATCTTGCTATTAATTTGTTGGGTATTCCCTTGGAGGAGGCAGCTGAGGAGGTACATAATTATAAGGGTGCTTATTATAAGTGTTGTACCCCAAAATTTGCCCTCTCATGTTTCCCAAAGTCTTCCCCCTGCATGGTTGATCACAAACTCTTGCCTAAGGAAAAGGAAATTTTTTGAGTGTTGCTTCAAGTACATTTCGATTGGCATTCTGAAAGACCCTTCGATTGGTGTTCTGAAGGAGCCTTTCGATTGGCATTCTGGACAAGCGCTTCGATTTGCATTCTGAAAGATCCTTCGATTGGTGTTCTGAAGGAGCCTTTCGATTGGCATTCTGGACAAGCGCTTCGATTTGCATTCTGAAAGACCCTTCGATTGGTGTTCTGAAGAAGCCTTTCGATTGGCATTCTGGACAAGCCTTTCGATTGGCATTATGGACAAGTACTTCGATTGGCATTATAACAGTGCCCTTCGATTGGAATTCCAAAAAGGTCCATTTGAAGAAGCTTTCGAAAAGCATTCGAAGGAGGCCATCAGCCCATTCGAAATGGAGCATTTGAAGGAGGCCATCAGCCCATTCGAAAGGGAGCATTCAAAGGCCAGTTACATGTCATTCATAATTCAAAAAGGGACAGGATCCCATGTGTTTAGCCAACATTACAAACTCTCATTCATGGCTTTCAAACACATAATTAACGTTACAAATTCTCATTCATGGCTATCAAACACATAATCAAGGTCATTTAAACCTTTGTCTTTCTGTCCCCTCCACCCCCTCTATATAAAGAAATCACAAATGTTGCAAAAGGACACGAGAAAATATACAGAAAAATAGAGAACTTGGAGATACGCTGCCAAAAGTCATCAGCACTTCCAAGAAGCCATACCCAATCCTTGCACAAGCCAAAGCTGCCACCCAGCGAACACCTCCACCCTCAGAACTACAGATCGAAGCACCTCTGATTGGTAAAAAAAATCTAATCTCAAACTCATTTTTTAAATTCATTTTTAATTGCATATTCATATTATTACTGCTGTTTGTGAATGATTTAATATGCTATATATAAGATACAGCGCAGAGATGAGATTGTGCCATTACTTGGGCACAATCTGACTTTCCCCTTCGAATCCCAGGATAAAACAAACCCAGACCCAGATTCAGGAGGTGCGAATAAGGGGGAGATTCGAACCAGGGGGTAAAATCCCCCCTGAACCTTTAACATGTGTTTCGTTTTGCAGGAACTACATTCTCAGATTCCTGTTCAGAGTTTCGAAGCTCAGCAGTTTAGCTTCGAACTGGACCCAGGATTTCCAGATCGAAGGATGACATATCCAGATCGAACACCCTCAGAGTGCAGCCTCTCATGCACCTTCGATCCAGCCTCTTCACTGGGTCGAAAGACAGCCTGCACCTCTTTCGACCCAGACCTCCAGAATTATATTTTTTTCTTGTTTTGCTGCCTGGCCCATTTGTACTTTGTTTACTTTGTTTTTGTTTATTTCTTTTAGTTTGTTTTTTTTAATCAACATAAAAATCATAAAAATGAATAACTTAGAATTAGGATTTAATTTAGTTAATTATTTTAACTTATTTTCTTCAATTTTAAAATCAGTAGACTTAGGATTTATCGAATTCAATCCTTTTCATAAATAAAAATGCAAAAAATATTAGTTTTGTTTTAGAGTTAATTTTAATCAGTATTTTTAATTAATTAAATTTGACTTAATTAAACATTTAGCATTTTTCCAAAACATAAAATAAAACAACAAAAAGATCATATGCTTAGGATTTTTAAGATTCACGCGCGTTTATTTTATTGTAACTGCTTATTATTTCCCCAATTCTGGACATGTAAATAATCCCCCTCCCCGAAGCCTTGTAATAGCGTAGTGTGATACGGTGGGAGAACTGACTTAAGGTTTTGCGTTTGTATTCGCACTTGTTCGGTTTAGCAAGAGTCGCCAACGACTTTTTGTTTTATCCTAAGGAAAGGTTAAAAAGCACAGGAAAAACCTTTTGAGATGTTTCGTGGGTTCGGGGGGTAGATTATGAAAAGGGAAGGTATTAGCACCTTTTTCATCCATGGTTATCCATGGGCTCTTAGTTACTTGTTTAGATCACTTGCCTTTGATTTTCAATTGCTTGAAATGGTGTGTGTGTGTGTTTTTGAAAATGTTTTTGAAGAAGATGCCTTGTCTAGGCAACCATTGTAATGACTCGTGTTTGAGTATATACAAAGGTGTGTATCTTTTCGAAAAGATGTTTCAAATGTTTTTGGAAGTTGTTTTGAAAGTGTATTGTGAAGTGGGTTTTGAAAAGTAGGCAAGTGTTTTTGCAAGTTTGATCAAGTAACTAAGAGTTGTCTACCCCTAAATTTACTCAAAGGTTTTTCTCATGTTTTAACCCTTTTAACAATTTTGTTCCGCTATTGTATTTGGTGGACAATCTTGCGTTTAGGATGTTTAACGGGACAGGCGCGGGTCATCGTATGGACCATGAATGCAATGGTGCCAAGTGTCTTTGGCAATTTGCTTGAAGGGACTTGATCATTTAGGCAACTTTCGAAAGCGTCATCGAGGGACTATGATCATTTGAATTGTTTTGCCAAAGATACTCAACGTGCAAGCATGGCCCATTTTGGAAGGCAACAAGCGGGATTACCCTAGGGGTGTAAGTGTGATTGTGTATTGATTTCATGTATTTGTCTTTGTATTAGGTTATCTAGCGTTTAATTTTATGTACATACAAACCCTAGGTCTAACCATGGTATATTTGAAAGCGATAAATTGCGGGAATTTAA